GTGCAGTATTTATTGTCTACAAAGTGTCATGGTTCACACTAAGGCAAATGATCTTGTCATCGATTTTACCCATCAGCACAGGAAATAAGCCTGTTTTCAGATTTCAGAAAGAAATAGTTTCAAAAGTTAAAGAACATTTTTATTGCCCTATCTCTCCACAGTGGTATAAGGTAGATGATTCAGTTAAGCCTAACATAAGAAAAAATATTAAGGACCCACTGTGTATAGCAGTGTTCCAGAAGCTGTGAGATATCTGTAAGAAGCATATGGTAAATTGAATTGGCAATGCATAATGTAACTAGACAGAAATGAGGAAAATGATGCTATTTAAATTACTTATTGCCTATGAGAATTTTCCTCTTTTTCTCATGGTCATAAGCAAACAAACATAGTCATCTTAGTTACATCCTTTGAAACTGAAATAATTCCTTTTGCAGGTATTTTTATGATTGGTGGCTTTACCTTTTTGTACATACAAGTTATATTTTCTCCTCCAAGTAACTCTCTGCTTGTGAAAATTACCTGAGCGTTAGAGGTGAGCTGATGACTCCATTCGTAATGAACCGGATGCAACCATCTGCTACATGCCACTGCAGATGCTTTCTGAACTTGGGATGTCACCATTTCCATGCTCAAAAGGTGAGAACGGTGTGAGCACTACATTCCAAAGCTCTCTACTAAACTTCATCAAAACCTCTGCAGTGCATGATTTCTTCTTATACTTTCTATTTGTATGTAGAGGTACTTCCATCACATGCTAACACAACTAAAACTCCATTGTTTCTCTGGTTTTGAGTGTTGGCATTGGACATTTTTCACATAATTCAACCTGGGAAATGGATCTACTAGGACATGTTTAGATGTGTGCGGATTAATTGTATACTCGTATCAAACATGTCCATTCCAAAGCACCAAAACAACACCACCTGTGATTTATAAGAGTGTGGTCTTAGCAACTGAGATATAGAAAGGTCTTAAATGACAACTCTGATAGCATTTTAGAAAAAACTTTTTAAGATTGTATTTGAAAGGTACAGAGAGGTGTAAATTGCTACTTGGCTTTAACTCTTTTGATATGAGACCAAGAATTGCTTAGACTGGTGTATGTTTCTATAAACATAAAAACACAGCGACTCTGTTTCTTATCCTAGAACAATTTTTTCAAGTGTGGTCTAATGTACAAAAGAGAACAAAGATAATATTTGCTACTGCAAGATTCATACAGATGAATATCAAGAACGTGTAACAGCATAGAAAAATGTGCTTTCATTTTTCCTTTTAAATAGTTTGCTCAACGAATAGGATTTTTTTTAAAAAAAATCATTCTTTTAAAATTATTTTGATGGTTAATTTAATTAAAATGCTACATTACCTTTTTAGACCAAAGTATGTTGGGAATACATTGCAACATAATTCATGTAAGATGACACAGCCTTTCTGTCTTCTACATGACTGAACGAACGTGGACTGGTGTTACTTTGCCTCTTACAAACATAGTCATGGTAAATGCTGTAAGAATGAGCACTGCCAAGTAGCGATTGTTGACTATTTTATTCTTATATAAAACAGATGAATTTATGTTGGTATTTGAAAATCACCAAAATATAAAGGATTTAAGGGTAATACAGATTTGATTAGAAATTGGTATGTAGAAAGGTATTACAACATTTGAAACTCTAAGAGATAGTATTTTTTTGTAGGTACTGGGAATCAATCCCAGGACCTTGCACTTGCCAGGTGGGTGCTGTGCCACTGAGCTATATTCCCATCTCGACAGTATTTAGTTTTGGAAAGGCTGCTGTAGACATGGTCATACTATGTTCTATAATTTCCTATTGATGATCTAGAACTATGACTTTTCTCAGTATTATCACCTCAGTGCTGCTGTACAAACTATCTACCTCAAAAGGTTATTGGGTAGATGAAAATAAATGTATCTACCACTATGACTAGAACTTTCAACCATTTTGGACCATGTAGCTTGCTCGTATTAAATCAGATTGAAATCTTTAAAATACATCTTGCAACTTATACTGCTAAGAGGCAAGGCATGAGTCATAGAAAGTTGAAGATTTTTATCATAAAGGCAAGTTAACATTTGTCAATAGGTTTAGCAAACTAATTACCCAAAGTAATAATGCGTATTTGTACAGTGTAAAGAATTTCAATTCACTCCCATCAGTTGAATAAAGGTTATAATAAACAAAGCAATCAGTGTGACTTCTGACAGACACATTTATCAAACCCTTGGACCAACATACACAAACTGTTTAGCCCAGGGACATCTGTACTCTGTGAATCTTTTTGGATGGTGGACAGCTCCTGCCGGGAACAGAACAAACTGTTTTTCAGTGTGCTCCCCCTTCTTCCTATTTCCTACTCATGAAGGAGTAACTGCATGTACACTTGCTTCAAAATTAAATGAACAGTTTAGTTGTATTTAAACTTGGCAAAGAAAAAAACTCCTCTAAAACAAAAAACAATGAATAAAGAATTTTGGTTGGGACTGACCCAGAATGCAATTTTACAAATGGTTTCTGCATCTTAACTCTGGGCACAGTATATCCTCCATTTCCTGTTGAAGAACTCGTGTTCTGTGAGGCAGAGGCTCAGGGTTTCCGACAAAGCGCCGTTGTTTTGGGCAGGCAGGTTCTTCAACCGGCGGGGCCGTCCCTCACCCCGTGCACTAACTACACAGCCTTTACCGTCTCTGACTGAAGGACCATCAATGCTAGTTTATCCCCAGACAATCTCTCCCGTCTCCTCCTAGGTTCGCAGATCCTTTCCAGGAGATGGGTAAAACCTCTACTAGTAAAGAACCACCGTTAAAGACATAAAAAAGGAGTTTCCACGCAGGTAATGCTGGAATACTTTGTTTTCCCTTAATAACTCTGGGGTCACAAAGATTGAGGTGACATTTACTTTACTTCACCAATTAAACCCAGTGTCTCACAGATTCAGTTTAATAAACTGGATTTGAAGTCACTTGATAACACTCCAGAAAAGGACACTTTGTAAACAGTTGTAGAATTGTGGCTAAGAGAATGGACTGGTCCCAGCTCTACCTCTTCCTAGCTATGGTATTTTGGGGAACATTTGCCTTCTAAGACAGGGGTAATGATTCGTATCTCATAAGCTTGTTGACTCCTAAACGTGCTACTGGTTAACCTGCCTAGCTCAATTCCTAGTACTAAGCACTCAAATTTTATGGTCTTAGTCACACTACTGGGACTGATGCTTGTGGAATATGCCACTGATTAGAACTAAATACTCCACACACAGCACGTAAACTTTAAAGGTCTCAGCTACTTCGGTAATCAGCAGTTCTATCCTAAGTGAAAGGAGCTGCCAGGGGAAAAAAGCTCAAAGTGAGCTCCTTTCTCTCAGCACCAAAACAAAGTGGAAAGACTTCCCCGATCCCCTCAGCCCACAGGCAGGGTTTTCTGACTTCCTCTCCAAACATTACTCTGACATCTGCTTTCTCCTGGATAAAAATGTGATGTGGGAGGGAAGACGTACAGCACGTAATTAAAACCCAGCTGGGGTGCTCTCCACCCTCCAGGGGAAACACTATCCAGCTTGTGGTCCTCTGGAGAAAAGTCATCTGAGGTAGTATTTCTAAGAAAGAAAAATATCCTACGGCAAGAATGGAACTAAAATACTGCCAGTATACCATTTAGTACAGAAATACGATTTCTGAGACATCCAGGAAGGCAGGAACATCAAAATAATGTTCTACCTTTTCATATAATCAAGCTAGAGAATTTTTTACTGTATCATAAATAGCCTTCATTCTTTAGGAAAAGCAGGCATTCCAAGGTTACAAATTCATTCATATCTATAACTTTTCCCATCTTTTGTTTTTTGCTGAATTTACTTTTTGGGATTAATTTTGGACAAAGAAAGCACTGGCCCCATTATAAGATGAGGGTGATCTCAGGTGAATCACACAGGTCTTCAGATAACAAGTTTCAGGTACAACTGGGACAAAAACAATTGAAAACAAGGATGCCACACAATGATGTACCTTAGGTTGGAGTAAAAGATGATGTAGGAGCCGTGCTATGCGGCCGAAGAAAGACGCCACGGCCAGGGCACACTTGTGCACTGTACTGTTCAGGAGGGAAATTGGCCGAGCACAAATAGGAACACTGTGAACTTCAGCTGCAAAACAGATGAACCGCACCGGTTTAGGGAGCGGCCTTTTAAGGTGCAAATATCCAACTGTGTAAACATTACCTTATGGTACTTGAAGTTTGCTTTATAACAAAAAATTTCTAAAATACTCAAATTGCTCATTTAGGATTTTCCTATATTTATAAATTATTCTAAGTGGGTATGTTTGTATATTTTTGTGGCCTGAAAGGATTATTTTATATTATCTTTAGAAATCACTAGAAGTATAAAAAAAAAAAAAAACAAACAAAAAATAATCCACTAAAAGTTTCATTATCCTGTAACTACAGACCAAGAAATTTAGATGTTACAAAATTTGCGCCCTATCTCCTTGTTTTACAAATGACGTTAAGTGAAGCCCAGTTGAGGTGGAAAGGTGCGGCCCTGTGTGGGGTGGCCAGGGCAACCCCCTCCAGCAGGCTCTGAAGCACATCCCTCAGCCCTGGGAATCAACACTGCAGAGCAGCAGGTGAAAATCAGGTGCAGTTTACACAGCAGAGTAATTATGGCTGTTTGGCAAGCACAAAGGCCTGAGTTCAATTCCCCATATATATCAAAAGAATACTTACCTCTTCTTCACCTGTCTTAGAGATCTAACCATGATGTAATGACTGATGTGGCAAACCCATGACACAACAAAGATCAATGCGTTTGGTATAAGCAATGTTTCAAGTCAGTGTTTTAACTTTTGGGAAATCACGTGGTTAAAGGAGTTAATAAAGTACAGCAACCCTAACATTTTTTAAAGTGTTACTGTTGATAGGATTCAAATGCTACAAGAAATGAGGAGCTACATTATGAATAAAAAAATTTAGAAACATTAATCTTTTAACAACACACTATTTCAATAATTTATTTATTACAGGAATATTCTTAGTAAAATCAAATAATTTCATAACTGCAAATGATAAGATTGAGCAAGGCTTAGAAAAGTTAACAGCATTATTTTGACATTTCAGAGGGAAAAGGTAATGAATTGTAACCATTTATCTTTTTAAATCAAACAATGCTGAAATAAGCAAATTCTGAATAGAAAACTGTATCGGTTCATTCATATTTCAAGTGTAAAAGTACTTTACTAGAGAAAGTTCCTTTTTTTTTTTTTTTTGTCTTTTTCCTTTTTATCGGTACTGGGGATGGAACTTATGACTACCTGCTTGCAAGGCAGGCGCTTATGCCGCTGAGCTAAATCCCCAGCCTGAAAGTTCCATTTTTCTGCAACTGTTTAGATGATGTTACAATAAAAGGTAGCATGTGAGTTGCAAATGCAGCTTGTGAAAACACAAATAAAGGGAAGAAATTAGCTTCCCATGTGAAAAAAAATCAACTGCATGAATTGAACATGATTACAATGACTAAGGAAAGATACAAAGTGTAATTTCAATTTTCTGTTTGGCACACGTATTAATAAACTTTAAAACAGCTAACAATTTAACAATAGCTACTAAAACCAAATAGCACAATAATAAAATTCCTAAATCTTAGTTAATACTAACATCTTAAAAACTTAATTCTTGTATGAATTCTGTAACTCAATGTGTCTTCTCTACTGTGGAAGCTGATCAAAGCACCGTCTTTTTCAGACACCCCAGAATCTTTGATTCAAAGTTAACTCATGTTGAACTCCAGAATTCCTGGCTGAATTTGCACGATCTTCTGAACAGGCCTTCATTTGTGAGAATATGTGCATCCAATCATCACAATTTTGAAAAGAACGGAAGACCTTCATACATGTCAGTTTTTAATTTTATCCAATCATTAATTTTCTGCAGAGTTGTTTTTTCTTGACTTAATATTTTTGCAAGTTTTTTCATTTTTTGTTCATTTCTTTCCATGTACTTCAGTCCTTCCAACTGCAGCTGATCCAGTTTTTCATTTCGACTTTCATCTAGGGGTATGTTTTCACACATGACAGGATTGAATCTAAAATAGGTGTCAGGAGGTAACAGACCATCAAGCATTACATGGACTTCTGGAAAAACAAAAAAAGAAGGGGCGAGGGTGGGTAAGAAGAGAGGGCACAGGGCGAGCTGTCCTGCCATAATCCATTAACCTCATCTAAAATTACTTTCATTCTAGGCACATTACAAACACTTATTCCATCACTTGAACTTACGGGAGAAAGAATCCACAATATCAAACAAAACCACAAAATGAAATTCATTTTCCAAAACACTTTATTTTGCTAAATTACAATATTTGCTGTAGTGTTCTATTGGACTGTCTTTCCAACCTTCTTTTCGTTTTTAATTTTTGGAGATAATACTGAGATATAATTTACATATGATTCACAAATTTAAACTGTGTTATTTAGCAAACATTTACAAACATACGCAACCACAACAAATCATGACACAGAACACTTCCATATCCTCAAAAAGTTCTCCCGTTTCCTGACAGGTGGTTCCCTCTTGCCCCCTGCCTTTTCTAGCATTTCATACAGATTCATAAGTCTATGACTCTTTCCTGTCTACCTTCTTTCTCCTAGCAAAATGCTTTTGAAATTCGGCTGTACTGTAGCATGTATCAATGACTCTCTGAGTAGCAGCCCACTGTATAGCTCTCATACAATTTGTTCTCTTGAGTTCTGATTCTGGCTCTACTTAGACTCTAGCTATTAAGAAAGACTCTGCTATAAATATTTACACCTAAATCTTTGTGTGGAAATATTATTCCATTTCCTGGTTACAGTTTTAAAATTACAGCTATACTGTCTTCTGAAATGGGTGCTATTTTGACATTCAAGAAGTTAAGCAGTGTTATCTTGTACTTTTAATTTTCATCTAATAACTAATAATGCTGAGAAGTTTTTGATGTACTTCTTAGATCTTTTCATCTTTAGTGAAGCTTCTTTTCAAAAATTTTGCCCATTATTTCTAATATAATTGCTATGTTCTCCCTTAAATAACCCCCGTGCCCCACCCCAAGAATTCTCTGCACATTTGAATCTCAGTATTTGGATTAGATAATGAGCCAGATACCTATTTTATAAAATTTTCTTTTGGGCTACAGCTTGATCTTTCATTATATTAAATACATCTTTTGGAAAGCAAAATTTTGGAACCTGTCTCTCAAGGGCCTATACTCTTTTGAGTGTACTTTAAAAATTCTGCCTAATAAATCCTTTTCTGCTGCTTACTGATAATGTCCTGAAAATTCTCTTTCTGTGATGAAAGTTGGTGAACCTGCAGCCTGCCTTGTGAGTGGTCTGAATCAAGAATCCCCATCTCTGCTTTGGGGACTTCCCTGGATGCTGTGGTGACATTTCCTTGGCACTGGGACTACCATTCTGCTAAGTCCACAGAAGGGTGACATTTGCTAGCAGGGAGGCCAGGTGGCTAGGGTGTGAGAAATGAACAGGGGACAGTTACAAGTGAGGAAGAGAGGCGCACTCCCTGTGTGCCCTGGCCTCAACTTATGCACTGGCTCCACTCTCACTGACTAGCAGCTCCAAGCCCTGATGAGAAGGATGGGGCCTGCATTCCCCTTTGGCTGGGCTCCTCGTCAGCCCACTGCGCTGACCACAGAGATCTGCCACGACCCTCCTCGGATAACAGCATCTGCTCCAGCCCCACAGCCCCCTCTCTCCTTCCCCACCTTGTCTTTTGTTTTTTTACAATTTTAGGCTTCAGTTTATCTCCATATCTAAAACAGTATATGCTGGAAACCAGATGGCCAAGCAGTAAGCAGCTGAGAAAACAGCCTGAGAGTCACTATCTGGACACTGGAATATACATCATCATGAGGAAGGCCAAAAAGAGGGAAGCGAGTCCACTGGACCCCGGAAGAACCTGAAGTGCACCCCGAAGCCCACAGAGAGAGCGCAGAGAGAAGCTCCAATGAAGGAGGAGGTGGCCAGCAGCACCTTCTCCCTGAGATGGACTCACAGCACGAGGAGCATTCAGACCTGCAGAGCTGGGGTGACGGGGACAGCTGGCGATCTTGGAGGCCTCTGCAGAGACACGGGTTGTGGAGGGGCACAGCAGATGTGAGGGACTGCACTGACGGTGAGTACAGAGGACTTAATCCTCCCACAGGAGACAGTGACTGGCCAGGAGCCATGTTAGAGACTGGCTGGATAAAACCAGAACCCAGAACTGCTGCTGGCTCCACCTAGCAGCTCCCAGCTGGCTCGGACCCAGGGACACTGCTTGGGCAGTGGCAAGCCCAGTGGGTCTGGTCTCCGGGGAGGCCTGCTGAGATTTTTCACTATCCAGCCAAAAAGCTAATGCTGGCTTTCTGGGAGAGCTCTGCATGAATTGGGACTCTGACTCCACAGGCTGTCTACTAGTAAAACCAGAGAGAACCCTAAAAAAAGACTTTTTTCTCTTTATCCTTCATTGCTTGATTTTGTTTTTACGAGTATGAATGTGTGGCTTAGTCTCTTGGTGGCTTTGGTTCTGCTCTGGTCTTCCTTTTATCTCTTCCATCTCTCTTTTCCTTCAGTCTTTTACACCACTTTCCCCAAGTTGGTGTGATCCCTCTTTGCCCTCCGACCTTACTTCTAATCGCTTCCTCTTCTTACACTTTTCTATATTCTTTAATCCATTTTAAAGTTTAGCTCCTGACGGCAAAATTGACTAGTATATGGCATATAATTTTCTGATTTGTTTTAGATGTTGTTATATAAACATAAAGCAGGTTCACAAGGTTTGAAGTGGCAAATTAAGGGTTAGCTCAGTTTGTCATTCTCTAGGATGTGTCTGATGCTGCTGGTACCACTATAGACAAAATTGACATAATTGTTCTAAACAGCTGTTTGTCCTGGTATTCCATGACGGTGACTAAGGGTCACAAAAAATACTGTGGCACAGTGCCAAAGAATCGGGGACTGGGCCAAAGAAGCAACAACTTCTCATCACCAACAAACTAAAGAGTTAAAATCTTCCAAAAGACTCAAACTCAAAACCCAGCTACAAACTGGGTACCGTGACACATGCCTGTAATCTCAGCACTTGGGAGGCTGAGGCAGGAGGATCCTTGCAAGTTTGAGACCAGCCTGAGCTACAAAGTTCAGAGCTCAAAGCCAGCCTGAACTGCACAGTGAGACTCTGTGACAAAGTAACAAAAACCCCCCAGCTACACCTGGAAGATACCTCGGAGAAGTAGTCATCGATCAGCTAGGGATCCTCTACCATACATACTACCAATAAAGCATTCCACCATAGGCAATTTACAAACATCAGCCCAGGAATTAAACTAAAAAAAGAACGAAAAAAAATGAAAAGACCCTTAAAATGTAGTCCCAGACATCAAGTTCACCAAAGGCAAATCCAGGGGCAATGAGGCAGGACAATCTGAAAGCCTCCCACTTGGCTTCCCTGAAGTGGTAACAACAAAGTAACTGAATAAGGCTCTGGAAAAAATGAAATCAGAAATAATCTCTGAGACAAAGACCATGCTTGGTGATGCTAGAGTAGATATAGACAAAATAGAGAAACGTAAGAAAATTACAGAAGCTCAGCATATGGAAGAAAGGGAATCCATAAAGCAGATACAAGCACAGTCCAGGAGAATAAAAATTTCACTGAAAGTATTCAAAACAGATTAGACCAATATAAGGACAGGATCTCAGAAATTGAAGACAGGCTTGCAGTTAGCAACCAGGAAAAGAAAGATTTCTCAAAAATAGCAAAGGACCATGAGAAATCAATCCAGTAGCTGCTACATATGACAAAGAAGAGTAACTTGAGATTGATTGGACTCAATGAAAAAGCAGGAGGTATCACAAATGATGTTTAAAAATGTTCACAGATACCATGGCAGAAAACTTTCCTGGTGGAGAAAAAGAATTTGACATTCAGATAAGTGAAGCATATATACCCCCAATTAGCCATGATCAAAGAAATTCTACAGCCAGGCATATCATAGTCAAGATTCCAGAAATTCAACGAAAGTACAGAATCTTAAAAGCTGTTAGGAAAAAGAAATAAATCACCTATAAAGAAAAGCCCATCAGAATCACAGCTGACTTCTCAGCATAAACTCTCAAGTCAAGGAGGGCTTGCAGTGAAATAAACCAAGTTCCAAAGGAAAACGTTCAACTCAGATTGATGAACCTCGCAAAACTATCAAAACTGATGGAGAAATAAGATACTTTCGTGACAAAGAACATCTGAGGAAATTTATAACCACTAAAACAGCACTCTAAAACATTCTGAAGAACACTCTAGAAAGAGATAATAAGGATTGCAGCTCCATGAACCCCAAAAGGTGGAATTCACCAGACAAGGCAAACGTTAGAGGGAATGGGAAAAAAGGTGGTGGGGAGAGAACCAACAACAGGAAAACACCAAGACAAGGATAAGTCAATACATATCAGTTATAACCATCCATGTTAATGGTCTCGTTTCACCAATCAAGAGACACAGACTGGCAGAATGGATCAAGAAGAAAGATCAACAATACACTGCTTACAAGAAACACATTTAATTCCAAAAAGAAATTCACACACTGAAAGTCAAAGGATGGAAAACAATACTCCATGCAATAGGAACCCAGAAAAGGTAGGGGTAGCTATTTTATTTGCAGATAAAGTGAATTTCAAGCAAAGACTGATTAAGAGAGATTTAAAAAAAGGTCACTACCTCCTAGCAAAGCGAGCAATCCAGGATGAAGCGATATCATAAATATATATGCAACAAATACTATATAAAATAAATACTATATAAAATAATTACTAATGGACATGAAAAACCAAATAAGCCCTAATATAACTGTATTACGAGATCTCAAAACTCCAGTGTCACAAAAAGACAGATCAACTAGTGGTCCGTAGAACATGCTTAAGTAAATGCTAACGAATTAAAATTATCCCATGCATACTATCAGACCACAGAGCAATAAAATTGGAAATCCATGGCAAAAGAAACCACAAGAACTTCGCAAGTATATGGAAATTAAACAGCATCCTGTTGAACAACTAATGGGTCACACATGAAATTAAAAAAGAAATTAGACGATTTTTATAGT